TACTTCAAGTCAACAACTATCAAAAAAAAGCGTCATAGATTTAACAAGTAATACCGTGCAGCATATAGGGTTAGTAAAAGTTTTCATGTTTTTCTAAATTTATATATACATATACAGAAGCATAAATAGAATAATGACATGTTAAAACTTTTTTGTTTTTAGTAAAGACGCCTTAACTTCGGGTGTGCACTCAAATTTTTCTGATAGCTCTTCCACATCTGCAGCAAATGTCTCTAGCTGTACGCAAAACAAAAGTTTCATTGGACAACGAAAAAAGTCGAAAGAAAAGCCGGATGTTCTAGAAAATGCCATTGGCAAAGTTACCTCTTTATTAGAGAACAGATGTGTACCAGTTTCTTCATCGCCATCATCTCTAAAGCCGGAAATAGAAGAAGATGTGGCTTTTGGTCAATTATTAGTTTCATCATTTGTTAATATGGCCCAAGAAACAAAGACAGACAAAAGGAAAGCAATAATGCGTATTTTATATGACATATAATTGTTGCGTATTTTATCACACGTAATTGTTGCATCTTATATGATATTTTTTTTCCTTTTATGACATAATTATTAGCGATATATGTCTAGTTAAATATTTTCATGCAACATGGTGATTAGTAATACACGTTATTTTAAGTTTATTTTTGTATGCAACGTGTGATAGTGAAATATGTTATTTTTTTTATTCAATATTTGATAATGATATATTTTTTTTAATTTTTAAATAACATGCAATTATTAGAGATAAGATATTAATTTTGAATACAATTCATGTGATAATTAGTAATACACGTTATTTTAAGTTTATTTTTTTGTATGCAACATGTAATAGTGAAATATGTTAAGTTATTTTTTTATCCAATATGTGATAATGATATATTTTTTTAAATTTTTAAATAACATGCAATTATTAGAGATAAGATATTAATTTTGAATACAATTCGTGTGATAATTAATAATACACGTTATTTTAAGTTTATTTTTTTGTATGCAACATGTAATAGTGAAATATGTTAAGTTATTTTTTTATCCAATATGTGATAATGATATATTTTTTTTATTTTTAAATAACATGCACTTATTTGAGATAAGATATTAATTTTGAATACAATTCATGTTATAATTAGTAATACACGTTATTTTAAGTTTATTTTTTTGTATGCAACATGTAATAGTGAAATATGTTAAGTTATTTTTTTATCCAATATGTGATAATGATATATTTTTTTTAATTTTTAAATAACATGCAATTATTAGAGATAAGATATTAATTTTGAATACAATTCATGTGATAATTAGTAATACACGTTATTTTAAGTTTATTTTTTTGTATGCAACATGTAATAGTGAAATATGTTAAGTTATTTTTTTATCCAATATGTGATAATGATATAATTTTTTTATTTTTAAATAACATGCACTTATTTGAGATAAGATATTAATTTTGAATACAATTTATGTGATAATTAGCAATGCATGTTTATTTCCTTTATGCAATACATAAGTGGCACAAAATGTTATAAGAAACAAGAGGACTAAAATTAAAAGAAACAAAATATTATATTTATCTTTTTTTATGCAATGTAATAAATACTTTTATTATAAAATAAATATATATATTTATAAGTAAATAATTTTAATTTTTATTAGTATTTTACTATGCATCATCACGATGTTGTCCTCTTCTCACATAATCATATTGCCAAAAAACTTGACCAGGTGGTGTCAGAAAATAATTAGCCAGTTTATCTCGTTGATTATAAGCAATTTTAGTTGCATGATGCTTTAAAGTAGGAGCTATATCTCTCAGTGTGTTTTCAGTATATCGTCGTCATTCCCCAGGGATTATATTACCTTCAGAATCCTCCGAATCTACAAAATGTGGAGGACAGTATATTCTATCCTTTGCTTCCACAAGATCTTCCTGAGATTTTATAAAATTATGCAGACATATAGTCGCCATAACAACCATGTCTATATATTTTGGATGCATATTAATAGGTTTTCGATATATTCTCCATCGGGAGGATAAAATACCGAACGTATTTTCAATTGTACGCCTTGCTCTGGATAATCTGAAAATCAATAAAGTGCGTTATAAGCTTAAGATATATTTAAATAATACAATATTAAATTTCTTTTCTATTCCTGCCCTGAAGTGTGCACAATGATGCAGTAAGTTAGAGTGAAATAAAACCTACTTGCCTCATTCTAACTTATTGCACCAGTTTGCACAGTTCAGCCAGTGGAATAGAAAATAAATCTATAGTAATAAAAATAATTACGCAAATTGCTAACCTGTAATTAAATATTTTCTGTTTTTCATCAATTATTTTTCCGGAATAAGGTCTCATCATAAAAGTATTGATCGGGAAACCACTGTCTCCAAGAAAAAAACAAGGCAATGTTATGTTACTTCCAGAAAGATTTGCGGTCCCTTTGGGAAGATTCAAACTTTCGCTTTTCAATGCCGAATAAATTTCAGAGGATGTAAAAATACCACCGTCACTATTGCCACCATATGAACCAATGTCAACTAGCGTAAACATGTATTTATGATCACATGCGGCTAGTAACACAATGCTAAATGTTTTTTTATAATTAAAAAATAAACTCCCGGAATCTCATGTATCTCTACATGTTTGCCATCAAAAGATCCTGCGCAATTGGGAAAATTCCAACTTTCAAAAAAACCAGTACAAATTTTTTTCCATTCTTCTTCTGTTGGCAAGCTTAGGTAAATCGGCTGCAATACCTGAGCTAAAACTTGGCAAGTTTCATGGATAATTTTTCGAACAGTTGACTCTCCACATCTAAACGCCAATGCTATAGATAATATTTGATCTCCGGTTGCTAGAAACCTGCACAAAATAATTGATAGAAATATTGATAAGAAAAAAATAGGAGTAACATTAAAAAAATAATATCTTATACATATACCCAGATAGCCAGGAGTGCTAAAATCACGTTTCACTAAAGCTTTGCGGCACAGTTTGTTTCAATTTTAACAACAATTTTCTGACAAACATTTGTCTTGATTCGTCTCATCTAAATATTTCGAGCAAATTTACGGCAAAACTTTTCGTCATATAATGCTGCAAATAACACAGAAAGGCTTATTCATAAATTTTAAGCATAGAAAAGAGCAAATGATGCTATCACAGTAAAACACAAACTTTGCTCAATAACAGTAAATCTTATTACACACCGCATATAATAGCAATTTTGTGACAAAAACAGAGCAAATCTTACAATGAACGATATGATAGATAATTTAGGAAAAAAGCAGAGCAAAGTTTACTCTAGCTCGATGAGACGCAATATTTATGTAAATAACAACGCAAGTCTTGCTATGCATGGCGTGATAGCAAATTTGTGGCAAAATCAGAGCAAGATTTATTTTGGTACGACAAGACGCAAAATTCACGCAAATAACAGAACAAACCTTGTCACGCACGATGTGATAGCAAATTTGTAGCAAGAACACGGCAAGGTTTGCTCTGGCACGAAACGCAAAGTTTACACAAATAACAGAGCAAATCTTGTCCTGTATAGCGTGATGATAAATTTAATTATATTAAAATCTATTATTGATAGTCCTTTTGCTTATTAATAATATCGTATTAAAAAATTGACAAAAAGATGAAGAAAAAAATAAGTTTTTGCGACATTTTGTCTTAATACTTTTAGAATGTTTATGTACATACTTACGACTTATATATGTACTTATGCGATTAATAATTTGTATTAGACTATACTTTTAAGATATTATTTAAATTATTTTGAGGTTTTTGGTCAAAATGATATATGCTAATATATCATAATATATCGTCTAATTTATCTTTTTAAATGTTAAAAATATCGAGAAATGATCTTATTTAAAAAACATAGGATGACTTCATTTTTCCGTATAAAAGTAATGAAATAACAGATATTTTTTTAACAAATCTAGTTCCCATATTTTACAGAAACCAACGATTTTTAATTAAAACATTTTAATTGAAACATTTTTTTACCCAACTAATATTTAAAATAATTTATCAAAAAATTCATAAATATATTATTTACTCATAATCTCCTTGAGCTAATTTGTAAGAAAGTAAGAGACGCGCGCGCGTCTATTAATCTAACCGACGTTTATTTTTGCAACTATTACAGTTTTATTGTTATTATTCAATATTGGCTGCGGTCAAGGAGATGCTGAGGATGCTTTGAAGCGTTTGATTGACCAATCAAGTTAAAGAAATCTTTACCGATTTTTATTCCGATTGGTCAATCAAACACTTCAAAGTATCCTCAGCGTTTCCTTGACCGCAGCCAGCATTATGTATAACATACATATTACATAATATAAGTAATATTAATAAAATTGTATGTAACATAATTTTTACATAATTTGTATATAATTTTTGTTGATAATTTATATGTAAGATAAAATTTGCACATAATTTTTATTGATACTTTTTACATACTTGTACATACGTTACTATCATATTTTAATTACTTTATATTATTTAAAGTACTTTAATTACTCTTATTATTTATTTTAATTTGTTTAAAACTTTCATTGTTTATATAATATATATATATTGTATATATATATACAATATATATATATATATATATATATATATATATATATATATATAATGATATGCTCGATTATTAATTTATAACTTGCACTTTTTTAAAAATATTTTTAAATACATTTTTTGTTTTATTTCTAAGATTGTCTTAGCACATAAGTTTACATTTTAGTTATATTCTTTTTTCCTGATTGGTGGTGTAAAATGTTTCCAAGCATTTGAGACATTTCCCGAACCGCAGCCATGTGCGCGACTGAATCACGTGTCACGTGCATAGGACGTGACCAATTCCGTCCTGTATACAGGAGCCCTGATTGGTTACCGCGTCGTTTCTTGTCGCGCAACAAGCGTTGCTGCGTTCTGTGTGCACAAGCCCTAATGTACTGCGCATGCATGAGTCTCATGCTACAACCAGTGCTGCTTCCAAGTTCTTCTGAATTGAACCACCGTGAGTGCCGCAAGGTTATCGCAGAGGATACAATTCTAGAAGATTTTTGAAAGGCGTTCCAGGCGAGTATGAAACCAGTTAAATATTCTGTTTCGCGTAAATGTTTTCATCGGTTGTCTGCGAGACAACGAAGGCGAATTACTTTAGAGATTAAAGATACTTTACGTTTAAATAATGCAACACTTTTACAAGATTCCGTTACGCTCAAACATAGGGATAATGTTACTTCTTATATTCACGTTGCTGATTCCTTTCGAATAGACAATATTTCTTCCACAAATGATATTGCTAATGATATCTCTAATATTACAGATAACGGTAATATCGATAATAATATATTATCTAATAGTTATAATGGTGATACTGAAGATTCCACTTCCTCATCTCTTGGTATTTCTTCCATTGACGAAACATTTCAAGATCGTTTAGCCACATGTTTTATTAATAATAATTTAACACATGTTCAAAGTAATAGTATTCTATCTGTTCTTAGAACGCACACGTGCTTTTCTTCGTTACCAAAAGATGCTAGAACTCTTTTAAAAACTCCACGAACACCTGCTGTCGTATCCAAAATAGATCCTGGAAAATATATTCATTTTTCTCTTGAGGCAAAAATTGTTAAAACTCTATCACGTCTTCCTTCGAAATCAATACCGTCTGAATTAGAAATAGATTTTAATACAGATGGTTGTAGCTTAGATAGGTTAGGAAGTATTCACATTTGGCCAATTCAATGTAGACTTGCTAATATTCAATACACGAAGCCAATAGTAATTGGAATATATAGTGGTCCTGAGAAACCACATGATTCTAATTTATTTTTTGAGAAATTTGTTACAGATGTTAATAGTATAATAACTAATGGTGGTATAATTTTTGGTGGCAATAAAATACCAATACGTTTAAGATGTTTTATAGCCGATGCACCAGCTCGAGCTTTTGTTCTTAATCATAGAGGCCATACATCTAGTAAACCATGTTCGAAATGCAGAGTTTCTGGTATACGATGTGAAGGTAGGTACATGTTTGGTGGTATTAATCATCTTCTTCGAACAGACGCAGAATATATTAGATGTATAGATGAGGATCATCATAAAGATGGCAAAAGTCCATTGTCAATGTTACCTATAGGTATAGTTTCACAAGTTCCTTTCGAGTATATGCATCTGGTATGCTTGGGAGTTATGAAGAAACTTTTATCCGCATGGATATGTGGTAAATATACACGTTTCTCAAAATTATCAGCAAAATCCATTGCTATAATATCTCAAAGATTAGATAATCTTAAAGTATGTTGTCCATCAGAATTTGCAAGACGTCCTAGAGCAATTGATGTATTTACTAAATACAAGGCAACAGAATTGCGTCAATTTCTATTGTATACAGGTCCAGTCGTAACATACGGTATCTTAAATCAAAAAGTACATACTCATTTTTTGTTTTTGCATACTGCCATAAGAATATTGGTTTCTTCTTCACCATCGAGAAAATATTTAAATTTTGCTGAACTTGCTCTACAAAAATTTGTTGCTCGATGTGAGAATCTTTATGGATCATCATTTATTTCGTACAATGTGCACGGTCTTCTTCATCTCACAAATGACGTGCGGCAGCTAGGCCCTCTTGATTCATTTTCTGCTTTTCCGTATGAAAATAATATGTCAATCTTCAGAAAATATTGTAGGAAACCTAATTTTCCTCTTCAACAGTTTTCCAATAGAATGGCAGAGATGGAAGCTTGTGAAACAAATTTGCACCGTAGTCAAACTCATTCTGAATTCATTGATTCTTCTGCGCAAGTATTTGCAGCGCATAATGAAGGTCCTCTTCCACCTAATGTTAATCCTACGAGCCGTCAGTATCGTAAATTAATATTTAACGGAATTTTGTTGAATTTAGATATACGAGATAATTGTTGTATTTTACACGACGGATCGATTTGTCTCATTGTCAATATCTTAATGGACGAAACCATATATTTAATTGTGAAGAAATTTCAAAAGATAGATTCATTCTATGATGTTGGTATTTCGTCTTCAGCAATTGAAATATTTAAATGTTCCACATTAAGTAGTGAGATTTTTTGTATCCAATTGAATCAAGTACGCTTCAAATGTTATAAAATGCCTTTTTGGGGTTCATTGGTAGATGATAATAATAGTGACGAGTCAGAAATTATCGAGTATATAGTTTGCGCAATTATACATACAGATAATCTAAAATAAAACTGCATTTAGCTATTCTCTTAGATACAATTTGCAGAAAGAAAAATAGAATCTCCAGGATGACTAACAAAATACAGGTTAGTATAATTGTGCCTAGTTAATTGTGTGTATCTCTATCTCTCATTCTTATTTTAATTGGAATGGTAATGTTGACTAAATTCTTCAAACATTTTAAATGCTCTCTACATTTTTTGCGCTTGAAGAGAATCAACACAGGAATCATTCTTAAAATATATATAATTGTAATTATATAAGATTATTATTCGAGTATTATTCAAAATTTGGTTTTTCTCTCGTTTAATTTTCTATCTTCTATTTTTTTGCATAAAATGTCGAAGTTTTTTATTTTTTAGGAATTATTTTGCATGTACTGATTTCCTTGAATGCTCTATATACTCCAACGGCTTAGATTCTTCTTTTCAGAATATTTGAATACACACACGCACGCATATATACACATATATACACATTTGCATATATATTCATATGTACACATACGCGCGCGCGCGCGTGTGTGTGTGATGTGTATGTGGTGTGTGTGTACATACATATACCTATATTATATATGTATTTACAGAAAGAAAGAATATGGATCAAACGGAATATCATCGTCCCAAACGGAACATCATCAAACCACGACGATTTCAAACTACATCATCTTCGGACGAGGCAGATACAGGAAAAAAGACGATGGAGCTACAAGGCAGTCAATTAGAAGAAGATGTCGCTGAGTTACGGGGAGTATTAGAGAATCATTCTCCCGATATAAATATGCATGCTCATCATTCACTCACTTACGCACAATCTAGTGACACAACACACTCACAAACTAACGCACAATCAACCGTTACACAACACAACAGTTACACAACACAAGCATTTTGCCCCAATGTCACATCACACTCAACTTACGCACAACCATTAACAGTCACCCACACAACACAAGCACCTTTTATGCACGAAACATCACAATCATTATCCTACGCACGACAGAGTTTTCATCTAGACTCTCATTCTTCTCAACAACATACAACACAAACATTTACACATGAACCACATGCATCTGTCACTTATACACAACTTGATAACAGATTAAATACACCACGTAACATTCAGTTGCAGGCTTCAAACATCTGGCCAACTTCAAGTTATCTGCCAAGTTCTTCGTCATCAGTACGAGCTGCAGGAGAATTTAATGATGTGAGACTAGAAATTCAGTGAGTGTACATCGAATAGAAATTTTTATAATTGATATATATGTACACTTTTTATAGTCATATACAAAAATATAATAACATTAATGTTTACAGAGCCATACATGGGAAAATAAATCTGTTAACTTCAGAAGTTCAGTAAGTTTTAAACGCATTACGTACATAAACAATCTCAATCATTTTTATATCGTAGGTCGGAATTCATAATCCATGCTTATATTTAAGATCTTCTTAAGTAAGACTTGAAAATGTTATATGGCTATTTCATTGGCTGAATAGAATCTTAAGACAACCTAAAACCAGACTTTAAGATGATCTTAAATATAAGAACGGACTATAAATTCCGGCCTTAATCTATTATTATATTATTTATATATATTATGTGCTTTTTACAGAAAAATACATCAAAAGTTGGAAAAGGTATTGACACAGATGAGCAATAGCCGAAGACATATGCCCGAAAAGCCAATATTTTTGCCAATATCATCTGTTGAAGACATTGAGAAATTTGAAACGGCCAATGATGAAGAATACATGAAATTGGTATGTAAAACAAAAAGTCATCTCATATAACAACAAAAAGTTCATCTCATATATATATATAAGTATCATATATATATATATATATTTGCGTCAAATGTACTAAAATTATATATATATATATATATATATATATATATATATATATATAATTTTAGTACATTTGACGCAAATATATGTAAATAAAAATACATGTAATATAAATGTAATATTTTTATAGTTGAATTATTTGATTTTTATTGGTGGTCTCAATGTAAAAGAAAGTATTAATTTATGTGTGAGAGAAATATTCCAAGATTCTTTGATGACCTTCTACACTTGGTTTGGCCGTGAAGAAAATCAACGACCCCTATATAATACCCGCTTAGTAAAAGCTATTTACGGTATGATACTATTACGCATAATACTAAAGTTGCGTTATTAATAGTACTATTTTATATTTGTTTCCTTTTACAGATGCCATCTGTGAAAATAAAAATTTTGAAAGACCAATGCGGGCTGCATTTCAAACATATATGCGGGATGCTGTGCGAACGGCCAAGCAAAGACACAGGAACAAGGCCCGCAACAATTTACGTCATCCGGAAAGAGGAAATAGAAACGAGAGAGCACTATGGAGCGACGAACACGATGAGATACAAGCACATGAAAATTAGGTCAGTTATATGAAAATAAGTATATATTCTTATACATGAACAAAATTTGACAATCAACTCTCTCTGTCTCTTTCTAAATACTAATTCTCTTTTCTTAGACCAGATTGCATCAACATTATATTGGATTTAAGCGATATACCTAAATATGTGTCTATTTTTATGTTTCTCTTTAAATAAATAAAGACAGACACATATTTAAGTATTAAATCCAAAATAATGTTGGTGCAATTGAGCTTTAATGATGTTTCTCCTTAATTCCATTACCTTTTTATATTCCTAATTTAATTCCATCTCTCTCTCTCTCTCTCTCTCTCTCTCTCTCTCTCTCTCTCTCTCTCATATGCGACTATTTATTTCACATAAATAGTTGCATATGAGAGAGAAAGCAATCGAATTAGAGTAGAAAAATAAAAGTGATAAAATTAAGGCTGAACATCATTAAAAAGATTAAATTTAGAAATGGAAGAAAAGTTATTCATTAAATTTTGACCATGTATACTATAACATATTATTAATTCTTTATAATTTTTTTCATTCCGCAATATTAAAAGCTGGTCGACTATTGCACACTTACAGGAAAAATATGTTATATATTTATAACTGTATACTTATATGTTATATATTACTTACAGGAAGAAAGAAGATCAAAATATCAGTTCTTGAGGATGTACAAGCAACTTTCATGTGAACAATGATTCATATTGAATGAATATTGTTTTCACATACGAAAATTGTTCATATATACTCAAGAATTGGGATCCAGAAAGAAGCGAGAGGAAAACGGCGGCCTGAGGACAAGGACAAGGACAAAGACAAGGACAAGGACAGACAAGGAAAATCATCGATCAATCGGCACTTTTTAGCGCCAAATGGCACTTTTCATTGGCCAAACGGCATTGAAAGTGCCACATTTTTAATTGTTCAACGTGGAATTCGCCTCGATTCACAAAATCGGCACTTTTTAGTGCCAAATAAAATTCACCTTAATTCGCAAAATCGGCATTTTTTAATGCCAAATAGAATTCCATTTTCAAAATTAGCACTTTTCAATGTCACTGTAAACTTATTTCGTAAATATGAACGATAATGTTACTATCGTTATATATTAATGTGCATGTATAATGACATGTCAAAATACATGCACAACACGTAATGATAGTGATATTATCGTTCAAAGTTACAGAAGAAGCCTACAGTTATTATACGTTCATCTCCACGATTGATCAATCAAATATTGGAGATGAACGTAACACGTTCATCTCCAATATTTGATTGATCAATCAGAAATCTTTGACCAATAAAGACAAAGATTTCCGATTGGTCAATCAAATGTTTTCAAGTACTTTAGCCAACTTGACAATCCAATTAAAACTTTCATAAGTTGTTTCCTTATTAATCATTAATTGCATTAATAACAATAATGTTAAAAATAATTTAACTAGATAATAGATTAATAACGAAATTAATAACTATCACACATGTAATATAAATTTGTGTTTGTTTCCTAGAAAAGAGAACGAGACAGATTGCGCCAATCAATCCTTCAGTATCGAATCCAGCTTTCACATTAAAGGAGTTTGAGTGTTCGTTTGAAGAATCATCTGCAAATTACTGGTTATTACTCTAAGAATGAAAATAGAAGCCTAATTAACTGTTATCGGCACAGAAATTTACGAGAGGCAGAACTATAGAAGCAAAAAAAGCGAAAAAATCCATAGTCCACAATAGTTGAATCAACAAATAAAGTAAGTAATTTTATAAACTTGCATCACAATACCTCGAATTTGGGATACATCATACAAGATAAAGTCTTTCAATTGCAATTTGACAAATGGAACTTTATGACATATCATTTTAAAACGTAATAAAATCTAAAATTTGTTCTTTATTTTTTAAACTAAGATCACATATTTATTTTATCTTTATTTATGTATATAATAATGTTTATAAAAATAAAGCAAAACTATATATGTTACTATTAAATATATTCCTATTATACATTTCAGATATTGGTGTTAGCTGAGAACTCCTAAAACGAAATTGACGTTGTTCATCTTGGCTCAAGCTCAACGATCAATTAAAATAAAGAAAAGCCAAATAAAAAATTTCTGTTATTCAATTAGTAAATATATCATCGATGACTCCTGAAAAATTCAACCAATCGATGTCGCATGAGATGAAATAATTGAAACAATCTTTCTTTCGCTATTAGACAATTGTGCTTTACTTCACGCGTTTCTATTATGTAAATATAAAGAGTCTACAGATATTAATCTTATAACTTATGAGTATTTAAAATTGTCTATATAATTATTATAATTATTATATTTATAATTATTATAATTATTATAATTATTATAATTATTATATTATTAATTATTATATTTATAATTATTATAATTATTATATTTACAAAAAGATTAAAAATTTATACAATTAATACATTTAATTCTATAATAAGGATTAATTCTATAATAAGGATTAAGATTCTATAATTCTATAATAAGGATTAATATATATAATTAATTCTATAATAAGTATTAAGATTTTAAATTAATTATGTCGATATTAAGGTCATTATAATTCTGTAAAAGATGGTGTTAATTAATTTTCCCGTCTAGATACGCGTGAAGTAAAGCACAATTGTCTAATGTTAATAATACATTCATACGAAAGTGTTTGCCGAACTAATGATTGAGTATCAGATAGAGAACTGTTAGAATCTCGATAGAGACTCTAAAAATTCTCTATTTGTTAGCTACGTCCGACAAACGTAATATCATCGTAATCGCGAAAGAAAAGTCACTTTGATTAGTTTATTTAATGTAATGCCGATTGATTGAGTTTTTTTTGTATGTGTATATTGTATATATATATATATATATATATATATATATATATATATATATATATAGGCTACAGATTGTTAATATAGACTATATATTTATATTTATAATAGTTATATATATTTATATATTTATAATATATATTTATTATTTTTATATTAATAAAAAATATATAAACTGTAATTAATATTATTAATTATAACCCTTTTAATAAGTTCGTTAATTTATTAATTACATCAACTTTTGTTCTGTTCTTGTCACAAACTTTCTATCACGCCGTGCACGGCAAAGCTTGTTCTGTTATTTGCGTGAATTTTGCGTCTCATCATGCTAGAGCAAACCTTGCTCCGTTCTTGTCATAAATTTGCCATTACAGCGCGCATGACAAAGCTTACTCCGTTATTTTCATGAATTTTGTGTCTCGTCGTGCCAGAACAAACCTTGCTCCGTTCTTACTACAAATTTACTACCATATCATGTATGGCAAGGCTTGCTCTGTTATTTGAGTGAATTTTACGTCTTGTCGTGCCATAACAAATCTTGCTCCGTTTTTGCCATAAATTTGTCACTACGCCGCGCACGGCAAAGCTTGCTCTGTTATTTGCGTGAATTTTGCGTCACGTTGTTGCAACAAGCCTTGCCAACAAAAACTAAGCTTAATGCGGACACACCTTGTCGCAATTTTGCTGCAAAGGCGTGCTCGTATTTGCTGCAAACTTTGCGCAAAGTTTGCATCATTTTGCTTGCTGGGTATGTTTCATTCTTCAATTGAATAGTTCATAACAAAACAAGTAACTACCTTAGAGTTATGATCAATCGCTGCTCTGGATTTAATGCTCGATGGTTTGATTTAGTCAAAAATGGTTTTGTCATTTGTAACAAAAGTTTTAAAGTTTCTTCTCTCATTCTTGTATACCGAAAAAATATATAAGGATCATGGTGCCTCATCTCTTGAAAAAGATGTTCATAATCTCCATACATGGGACGTAGAGTGTTAATGGGTCTTACCCACCATCTCCGATTTATCCATCTTTTACTTCGTCTCCTTCTTTTTAATAATGCCAACAGACACAATTGCAAAACGAATAAAATAATATCATCCTCATTCATATTTATGGAAACAGATGCCCTGTATCTATTAAGTATATAATCAGACATTGCCTAAAAAAATATAAGAAACATAGTTTCCAAAATCTTATATATTCTTAATTATATACTAATTACATATTCCTATTATTTTATTGCTTTTTTACAGTTATATATGAATATATGAATTGACAATACTGTTTACATATTCATTAAGCTTTTAGCGTCTACATTTATATGAAAATTGTATTATAAATATAGACTGTTTTATATAAATTAGTTATGCATTGATTTACCTTTCCATTGGATTTAAAAATCTGATATGTGCTGTAGATATTTTTTCTCCTGCTATTTGCCATACATGTAAATCATGGACATTTACGATACCCGGGAAAGTTTCTAATAATTCTCTTTTCAAAGAATCGATATTTATATGATTCGGAATTGTTTGAAGCAGAATCAATCCTAATTCTTTCACTACAAAAAGATAGAGAAAACTGATTAGTTTCAAACATTATTATATATTAATCACAGAATGAAAAAAATCTAATCAATTACTATGATAAATTATTTTTATACAAATATATATTACATTATCTCTCGTTATTCTATATTTAAAAAGAAATATACTCACTTTATGGACAGCAAAGAACGAACACGAAATTGAAGTTTCACGAAAGTGAAATTGATGAAATAATGGCGAAGACCGGATCGATGAACTTAGCCACATCGGAATCGGTGAAATAAACTAAAATTGACGAAATACTAATATGACGAAAACGCATCCTAGAACATCTCGACACATTTATCTAAAACCTTGGCTTTTTGATATTGCTAGTGGACTTCGTCTAGATGGATTTCACACTTTAAGGATAAGAAAGCGGACTGAAACGGACTACGCCATCTTGAACATAAAGATCGTACATACGTGTACATGTGCGTTGCTGCATATTATGCTATGTACTATGCATTATGCTTATGCGTCTATGCGAAAGTGTGTGCTCCCCGCTTTATGCTACGGCCATTGTAGACGACTCTTGAAGCGTCATCTACACTGAGATTTTAAGGAGACTTAAGGCATAAGACTTAAGAAGTTGACCAATCACAATCGAATTTTCTCTTAACACTTGACAGTAATTGGTCAATTTCTTAAATCTTACGCCTTAATTTTCCTTAAAATTTCTTTGTAGACGACGCTTAATGTAGCGTCTATAATTAGCTTTTAAGGCGTAAGTCTTAAGAAATTGACCAATCACGGTCTAGTATTAGGAGAATATTCGATTGTGATTGGTCAGTTTCTTCAGATTTACTCCTTAAAATTTCATTGTAGAAGATGCTTAAAGGCCATTCTACAGTGACCGTAGCATAAGGATGTAAGGCAAAAGACTCAAGAAAATGACCAATCACAGTCAAATATTAAGAGTATACTCGATTGTAATTGGTCAATTTCTTGAGTTTTACGCCTTAGAACCTTATGCTATGGCTATTGCAGACGAACCTTTAATCCCAATCTACAACAGATAATTTAAGCTCTAAGCCTTAAGTAATTGTCCAATCACAGCCGAGCATTCTCTTCATAAGCCGCGTTCCGAAATTATTACCAGTATACTGCAAATTCTATAGTGCACATTACGTATATTATATATTTTCAGTGTTGGCAGTAAACTGGCAGCAATTTCGGAACACGGCCATACTTGACTGTGATTGGTCAATTTCCAGAGGTTTACGCCTTACAACCTTATGTTACGACTGTTGTAGACGACTCTTGAAGTGTCGTCTACACTAAGATTTTAAGGAGACTTAAGGCGTAAGACTTAAGAAGTTGACCAATCACAATCGAATATTCTGTTAATACTTGATTGTAATTGGTCAATTTCTTAGATCTTACGCCTAAAGTCTCCTTAAAATTTCATTGTAGACGACGCTTAATGTAGCGTCTATAATAAGATTTTAAAGCGTAAGACTTAAGAAATTGACAAATCACTGTGTAGTATTAAGGGAATATTCGATTGTGTTTGGTGACTTTCTTAAGACATACGCCTTAATATCTCATTGTAGATGACGCATAAAGGCAATTCTATAGTGGCCGTAACATAAGTTTGTAAGGCGAAAAACTCAAGAAATTGATCAATCACAGTCAAATATTAAGAGAATACTCGACTGTGATTGGTCAATTTCTTGAGTTTTATGACTTACAACCTTATTCTACGGCCATTGTAGACGACTCTTTAATCCCGATCTACAATAGATAATTTAAGCCCTAAGCTTTAAGAAATTGACCAATCACAGCCGAGCATTCTCTTCAGAAGTCGTATTCCGAAATTACTATCAGTACTGCAAATTCTATAGTGAACGTTACGTATATTATATATTTTCAGTGTTGGCAGTAAACTGGCCGCAATTTCGGAACACGGCCATACTTGACTGTGATTGGTCAATTTCCAAAGGTTTACGCCTTACAACCTTATGTTACGGCCGTTGTAGACGACTCTTGAAGTGTCGTCTACACTGAGATTTTAAGGAGACTTAAGGCATAAGACTTAAGAAATTGACCAATCACAATCGAATATTCTCTTAATACTTGACTGTAATTGGTCAATTTCTTAAATCTTACGCCTTAAGTCTCCTTAAAATTTCATTGTAGACGACGCTTAATGTAGCGTCTATAATTAGTTTTTAAGGAGTAAGTCTTAAGAAATTGACCAATCACGGTTTAGTATTAAGAGAATATTCGATTGTGATTGGTCAGTTTCTTAAGTTTTACTCCTTAAAATCTCATTGTAGAAGACGCTTAAAGGCCATTCTACAGTGGCCGTAGCATAAGGATGTAAGGCGAAAGACTCAAGAAAATGACCAATCACAGTCAAATATTAAGAGTATACTCGATTGTGATTGGTCAATTTCTTGAGTTTTACGCCTTAGAACCTTATGCTACGGCCATTGCAGACGAACCTTTAATCCTGATCTACAACAGATAATTTAAGCTCTTTCGGAGATCTAGGTCAACGATTGATGCGTTACTAAGAGTTCGGGAATACACGCAGTCTGCAATCGACAATAACGAATTTGCAATAGTGATTAGTTTGGATATAGCCAATGCTTTTAATTCAGTTCCATTCTGGGTTATTTTGGCAGCGTTCGAAGAGAAACGGATTCCGACTTATCTGTGTAGAATGGTGGCAAGTTATCTCACCGATCGTTACATTGTATACAAAAACAATGAAGGTGGCTGCGTCGAGCGTAGGGTTTTGGCGGGTGTCCCGCAGGGATCGGTCCTAGGGCCACTCCTGTGGAACATCGCGTTTGACTCTGTGTTGCGGCTGCGCAGGGAGGAGGGATGTCACATAGTTTGCTATGCTGATGATACCCTCCTCATATCCAAGTCGGATAATTTGTTCGATGCAATTATTAAAGCCAACATCCAAATCTCTAGAGTTACACATAAGCAAACTAGGGCTAACTGTTGCGGAGTCTAAGACAGTGGCAATGTTATTTTGCAAACGAAGGCCTCAACGTATGCCTTGTGTTAGGATTGGTAGCGTGAATATCCAGGTAGAAGAATCTATGAAATATCTTGGTGTCCTAATTGATCGTACCTGGAGCTTTAGGGAGCATGTTAAGTATATTGAATGTAAGTCTGCAAAGGTTACGCGATCTTTAAGCAGATTAATGCCTAATTTGCGAGGTCCAGGCGAACGCAAACGCCAATTGTACGCCACAATAGTTACATCCGTAATCATGTATGCGGTCCCTGTTTGGGGTAGGGAACTTTCTTCTTTCCCAGCTAAAGCATTGAGTACTTTGCGCCGTATACAGAGGACAGTGGCAATAAGAGTTACGGCTGCCTACCGAACCGTGTCTTTTGATGCCTGTACACTGCTGGCAAGAATGCCTCCTTGGTCACTGGAGGCTTCTTTTAGGTGTCGAGTATTTGAAAGGATCCAAGACCTAAAGCGCTCGGGCGAATATACTCAACAAACGGACAAGAAAATTCGTGACGAAGAAGCTAATACGCTTCTCAGGCAATGGGATACCCTCTTAGGAAACCCTAATAACTGGGGTAACTATACAACATCAGCGGTAAGGTTACACTTAAATAAGTGGATGAGCCGTGGGCATGGAGAGCTTAACTACTTTAGTACTCAAATTTTAACAGGACATGGCAGTTTTGGCCACTTTTTATATAGGATACGCAAGAAGGACTTTACTGTATGCACTGTGCTCACGGAGATGACACTGCCGAGCACACAATGAGTTATTGTCCGGCGTGGACTGAACAAAGAAACAAATTACTTACGGAAATTAATGTTGATCCTCTTGAGCGATTAACGCTCGATAAGATTGTTGAGAAAATCCTCAGGAAAAAAGAATATTGGCATTCATTTAATAATTTTGCTACTGTAGTTATTACAAAGAAAGAAGAAGAGGAGAGAAGGCTTGAACGTCTCTCTCTCTCTCTATACCGGAATAGAATAGATTAGATGAGATTAGGTTAGATTAGATCAACCGCTAATTATTTACCTATTTATTTGGAATAATTGTTACTAATTGTGTTATTAATTTTCTTGTTAATCCACCGACTTGCTCTGTCTCCTGTCTCCCCCCCTCTGTCTCCCGTCCTTCCCCCCTCATCCCTCCTTTCATCTATCAGAGTGTTAACCCGGCGTGGATGGGGGGGGTGGATGTGGGGTCGTGGTTGCCCCCGAGTCTGCTATTCCCACTCATGGCGGGGCATCTCAGTATTTGCACCGTGGCACTGGGGTGTCTCTCTTGCAATCATATTAGTTATGACCCGTGCTTGCAACGCTTGGTCTATTCTCATTGAGGGACAAACTTTTGTTTGTAGTGCGCTTTGACGCACACGCGTGGCGACTTCCAGAAGTTATGCGCAAGCGTTTCCTGGAAGTCGCCTTATGCGGTTAGGATGCCACCGGTGAGATTTAGCGGGTAGTCAGCCTGGGGTGGATGCATTCCGACTGGAGTCCTGCACTACCCGAAGCTTCCTTCCCGAAGCAGAGGGTGTCCGTCAATTGGATTCCTCATCGTCAAAAAAAAAAAGAATTTAAACTCTAAGCCTTAAGTAATTGTCCAATCACAGTCAAGCATTCTCTTCATAAGCCGCGTTCCGAAATTATTACCAGTATACTTCAAATTCTATAGTGCACGTTATGTATATTATATATTTTCAGTGTTGACAGTAAACTGGCAGCAATTTCGGAACACGGCCATACTTGACTGTGATTGGTCAATTTCTTGAGTCTTACGCCATACAACCTTATGCTACGGTCATTGTAGACGACTCTTGAAGCGTCGTCTACATTGAGATTTTAAGGATACTTAAGGCGTAAGACTTAAGATTTTTACTGTTGTCATGCGCACGATCTTTTTCGATCAGCTGATTGATAATCAACTGATTGTGACGTATGGGCGCGCATGTTCGTATGTTGCTTAGATTTCGTCGACGGTTGACAATGTTATTGTCAACGAGCATGATAAGCGTTTCTTAGGCGTTGAAAAAATAAGAGATAATTCGACCGGTTGAGTTTTTGTAGAAAATAGGTATTTCGAGAAGTTTCTCGACGCCCGTTAATTTTGAATTTTCGGGTTTTAATATAGAAAAATGTGGATTTTGGCTATGCGATTTTTAACAATGGTTATAAAATTTGAACAGTAATATATACTATTTTAGGATCCCCTTAACAAGTGATCTAAAGTAGGAGTATAACATCGCTTAATTTGTTGTTCCATCATTTAAAAAAAAAAACGTTTTTCCACATCCTGCTCCTCCTGTAATAAACAATCGTAAAGGTTCAATAATTTGACCTTGAATATCTTGTTTAATATGATTAGTAATTGTATTAAATAAATTAGATGATTTTATATTCATATTTCTAACATTTTGCACGAATTCTTCTGCAGAAATAACGCGATCTGCTTCATTGGATCGTGTAAATCCAAGTCGGTATTATTATATTTATCCATTATATAATGTACACGATCTTTTTCTACCATAGACTGCGTATTTGTGTTGTCATCATCAAATGCAATAATTTGAGCTATAACTTCTTGTAATTCTCATTCTATAAATTGGAATTGCTCAATATTTTGCCCCTTACGTAGAAATTTTAACAGAGATTACATAGAAGTTTTAATAGATGACGCTTTGCATTAAATGCTTGTTCTGCCGATTCATATCCCTGAAGTAATTCTTTTTCATTTCTGAAATGAACATGAACTACTAAATAACTAAAAAGTATGTAATGTTTCGTGACTATTAATTTGAGTATAATATTGTGTTTTTAACACTGCAGGCCGTGTACGTTGTTTCATTCTCGTATCATCTTGTGAACGGATATACTTAGTTGAAATTATATCATTTTCTTCATTATAAACTTCTACATCTCCATCTTCTTCATAATTATTCAATCGTGATATATATTCATATGTAACAACACATTCAGCTAAACTGAGATCGTCCAAATTTTTCGGACGTAAACAATAGCGATTAAATATATTTGCATATAAGTTATTAATGTAGCCATCGCTGTTAAAAATAATATCGAGTAGAGATAGCACTGCCCTCTCTCGTGAATTGACTGACACTAACGGGGCGCGAGTACGAGTCCATTCGGAGCCCTTGGACGGGCTCATTATTCCTTTGTCTTCTTGTCGCAAATATCGGAAAAAGATTTCAAGCAGTTAGAAATCCTGAGAAAAAACCGTGTAACAGTACCGTGCAATAAAGTACTTCTAATATAATTATCGGTGTGTCTCTTATTCTCAAGATAGTCTTATATATATATGTTACATTAAGTGGCGACCGTGACAGAACTGGAAAAGCATTTGTGACATATTCTTGAGAGAAATAAAAGGTGACACGATGGATAAGATGAAAAGATCCCGTATTATTACACGTGCGGCATTTACCCGCAATCTAGGCTCATTGAATACTGAGTTGGTAAGTGGAAGTCCAAACATTGCGAAATTACAAGTATATTTCGAGATAGTAAAGGAGAAAGCGGACCTGCTCGAGGAAATTGATCGCAAGATTTTTGAGGTTATGATCGACAACGATTATAGCGAAGAAGACCTCATGCAAGAATCTGATGCTGCGGATGAATACAGAACGAAATATCAGCGAGCGAAAATTGCAATAAGTAGTGCGACTAATCCGATTCAAGCAATGTTTTTTTCACAGGACGCGGAACAAGTAGCACATGTTCCTAGTGACAATGCGCGTACGTTCAAACTGCCAAAAATACAATTGCCAAAATTTAGTGGATATCTCAAAGAGTGGTTGCAATTTAGGAACTTGTTCAAACACATTCATGAGGATCTGGATATAACCAAAGAAGATAAATTTCAGTACCTGATACAAGCAATGGTGAAAGATTCCAGGGCGAGCATATTAGTCAACAGTTTTCTGCCGACAACGGCGAATTACGATAAGGCTATTACCAGCTTGAAATCACGTTTTTATAAAGAGGATCTACTTGTCGAGGTATACGTCCGAGAGATGCTCAAGTTAGTATTATAAAAGTCAATAAAAACAAGTGGTCATGTTCTCTTATCGAGCATTTATGATAAACTCGAGACACAATTACGAGCTTTAGAGTCGCTAGGAGTCACAACAGATATGTGTGCTGCGATCCTTTGGTTGAATTGTCGTTACCAGAAAATCTCTTACATATATGGCAGAGAAATACGAAAGCGATTAATTCTTCTACATCGAAGCAATGTCTAGATGAACTAATGTCATTTTTGCAGACGTTAGTAATGAGCGAAGAAAGAATCGCTATGGCAATAAGTGGTTTTGGATTAAACATTGAGTCTACAACTAATCAGGATAAATTCAAGAAGAAAGTGAAGAATGAACAGAAAGATATTGCTACTGCTGCGAGTCTTCTCGCAACCAAACAAGACAAGACACTCTTGTATATTTTGTGACCTAGATCATGAAAGTGCATCGTTCGTAAAGGCTAAAAAGATGTCCTATGAAGATAGATGCAAAATCGTTAAAATTAAAAATGCTTGTTTTTATTGTGCAAAGACGGGACACAATCATAAATATTGCAGATATAAAGGCAAATGCATGGTGCAGTAAGAGGCATGTTTTGCTTTTGTAACGTAATACAACATCAAATGCTTCTGTAAAAGCTAATCAAGAAGAAAAACTTTCCAAGATAAAAGAACAATCTACGCTTGCTAATTTTTCACTGAGCTTTCAAGAGCTTAAATGTGGAGTCGTAGCACTAGAAACGTTACTCGGATGGACTTTAATTAGAAACGTGGATAACTCACCGCAGCAAAAGGAAGACGCAACACTCATGGTCGTATCTATGTTTACATGTCAGGAAAACATTGTCGACTTGTGGAAGCTGGATACGCCGGGTATTATGGATCCTAGCTTGAAAAAGACAGATGATGCACATCAAGCAAAAGTTAAAGAGAATTTTCAGCATACCATTAAGATGAATGAAGAAGGTCGATATGAAATATTTCTTCTTTGGAAGGAAGATTACTTACCACTGGTAGAAAATAAAGGATCGGTTATAAAACGACTTGAGTCTACTACTAAAAGACTTAAAGCTTAAAATCTTTATGATACGTACCAACAAATTTTTGAAGAATAGTTGTCCAAAGGCATTATTGAAAAGGTTCCGGAGGATGAAGTAAACTACAATGCCTACTATCTACCTCATAGAAGTGTGATCAAAGAAAATAGTACTACGAAAATAAAGCCTGTATTTGACGCATCTACTTCTTGGAAAACTCCACCGTCACTGAATCATTATCTCGAAACAGGTCCTAATTTGATTGAACAAATTCCGAGAATTCTACTACATTTTAGACGACGAAAGATAGGAATAACTGCAGACATTTGGAGTGCTTTTTGCAAATTGTATTTCACCTGACGATAGAGACGTATTGCGGTTTCTTTAGTGGAAGAAGACTCGTCCAGAAGAAATAGAAGTATACAGACATCGGCGAGTAATTTTTGGAGTCTCCAGCAGCCCTTTCTTCTTAGGGGCAATGATCGAATATCATTTAGACAGAGCACTACAACAAGGACAAACGGAGGCAGGAATAGAAATCATTTAACAATTAAAGAAGTCTTTCTACGTAGATAATTGCGTAATCAGTGTTAATATGCACAGCGAGGCCGTAGCATTTGAAGTTACTGCAAGACAAATCATGGCAGAAGACAAATTTGATTTGCGAGGCTGGGAATACACGGCTCAAAAAGAAACATA